AAGGTAGAAAATAATAGAATATCAAGTCATCTGGGGTGATGCACAAGCTCCAGGTGTTTCTCGTTTAGCTTGTTTAGCTTTGCACTGAGCACAGTATTTCATAATGTCCTAAGTGSTGAATATTTTGTCTGTCAGAGTGATGCATTTTAATTCAATTTGCTGTTTTAAATTCAGTTATTTGTTCAAGGGACTTTATTGTCCGGAAAGACGTGTTGAGCTTAGACATAAAGTCCTCCGACTGAAGAGGGCTGTTAGGGATATGGATTAGGAAGATGCTGTTTCACATAGATTCCCCAAAAATGGAGATTTCTTTGTCCAGTTAGCTCCATAGCTGGTGGATTTTGATCCTGACTCAGTTCACGTGGAAATTTYGGACCGACGCTGCTCACGCTGGCTGGTTGCAGCAGTGCAGGGTGGATGGGTGGCCTTGCAGGAGGAGGGCTGAGCATCAGAGCCACAGGTAACTTCAGCCTCGGCTCGGACCAGCTGGGAACCCTTGTGGGTTCTTGGTTTGAACTCCTTAAGCGCCTTTAAATAGTGCAAGCAAAAAAGAAAGCTTTACAGAACTCAAGCTATTCTCATCTATAAGAATATACAAAGAATATACAGTGTTCAGCAAACAATTAAACACATATTTGTTTCCATGCTCTTTTTTGTTTGTTTTCCAGGGAATGCTGGAGTATTCTCTGTGCTGAGACTGGAATCTTTCTGTGCTTAGCAGCCCTCTGTCAGCAGATGTCTTCTTTTCTGAAACAGTCTTGCTTTTCTTCTAGGATGTTGTGTCCTTTCCTGGTGTTAGTCTAAAATATTTGTTGCTGTAAAAATATGCTCTTTGTTCTTCTCATGTGCCCAAGGTTCCTTTGTTTCTGAATTTCATCTTTTCTTTGAACCTAAAAGATCTAGCACCAGTTTGACCTTGTTTTCTTCTTTCAGTGTTATCCCATCCTCAGAGAATGAATATAAAAAGGAAACTGGCTTTATCAAGAACATGGTTAGTCTTTTGATCTCCAGAATTACCCCGGGCTTGGCCTCTAATGCRCTTTGCTCAATCTATGCATGGATAAGCAAGGTAATGACACTGCCCTTTAACATAAGGGACCTGAGACGAGAGGCAGTGAAAGATGGTCAAAAGATAAGGAAGCAAACAGATTTTGGATGAATAAACCGGATTCCAGAGGTTGCCCTACCCGCTGGTGCCAGTGAAGCTGTAGCATTTAGCACTGCCTGTGGAAAATTTCATCTGTRGTGCAAAATCTAAGTGTGTTTTGGTCAGGGTAAAGGACTGGTTTGAAAGTTGGGCCTCTCACTGTGTTCTTGTCAAGACAGGGTAATCACTTAGGAGCTAGGAAAGCGGGATCAAAGGAGCCCTGTCTTTGGGGTTGTAAATATCTGGGCAGGATTGTTGGAGAAGTGATGATTAAAGGTCAGAGCACCCTGATGAGAAAGGTATGGAAAAGGCAAAGAAAACAGAGAACTAATTTCAGTTCTTGTTTCGTTTCATCAGGTGCTGTATGAAGGTGGTGGAATAGCTGAACAAAGCAAACTGTGATAATGACTAGATATTTAAAGGAAAGTTGGAAAYAAATGAGTCATCTGCTTCTGTTGAAGTAGAGAGGAATATATTTCAGTTAATTTCAGTGGGGTACAGAGGGAATTTTTAACAAAAGGAGAAAAATCCCAATTCCTWTCAATTCCATTTAATTCCCTTTAAAGTCCTTTTAGAGTATGGAAGTTACCAACAATGTCATGCTATTACCAGAAGCATTATTACCTGCATCCTTCTTTGCAGCTGAGGCGATGGGCCTGGTTGTTAGCCAGCACATCCGTGTTCACGGGTGTGTGTCTCAGGTACCTAAAGCGACATTAGCAAAGCCRGTAGTAGCTGTCACTGAGACACCCAGAGAAGACTCTTGGGAAGACTCTTGTAAGGCCTCCAGATAACATGGAGAGAAAGCAAAGGATTATCTGCAGTAGATTATCCCCTGCAACGCATCATCTGTTCACTTGGAAGTGTGTTTTGTTGGATTTGACATTCTCCAGCAAGAGGTTGAGTATTCAGAAGGAATACTTACTGGGGAAAGATTTTACCACAGCCTTTTCCAAGAGATTCCTGCTGTTTCCTGCAGGTTTATACTTCCCTCACGTTATCTTACAGGGCCTCTTTGCTCATCAGAAGCACTGCTCTTTTTTTTGCTTTGTTTCAGCAGGTTTTGTTGCTGCTTGTTTCCCTGATAGTAAATTAGGCTGCACATGAAGGATGCCTGAGGTTCCTGGCGCTCAAGCAGGTGATGGACCTCTAAGCTCTCAAGCAGGTGATGGACCTCTAAGCCCCCTCCTCAACCGAGTAAGCTGATGGTGTCAGGGAAGCTCCCTCCCAGCTGAGCTGGTCCATATGGTCTGTTCCCCTCCATCCGTGGCTGCGAATACAAACCTGGGAAGTGGGAGGTGGAAAGGGGATCACGTGCGCAGTGGGAGCGGGGGCTGAGGAGGACCAGGCTCACGTGGGTCTCGTCAGCACTCGGTCACCTAGGCGATGGATCCCGCTGCTATGGTAACCTGGAGGCGACGTCACTCGTCGTGTATGAATTTGAACAAGCAGGAGGGCYGCGAGGTGTTTGCAGTGCTGTCCTCCTGCAGCCGTCTGCTGCCCTTCTGAAACATCTACAGGAGTTGTAACACGGTAGTCTGAGTTGTACTGATTGAGTTATTGAAGCTGCCTCCTGGGAAAGACCTGACTTTTGTGCCCAGCTTTGAACTTGGGATATTTTTGAGGAGATTTTTGAAGAATGGCGATGCTCTGGCTTGCTCTAGGCCTTCTGAACGCCAGCCTTGTAGGATGTGTCTCTTGTAGTCAGTTAGCAGCTGCCCTGGACRTCATGTGAGATGAGCTCAGCTTTAGAAAACACAGTCACAAACAGTGAAGTGTGTGTGTGTGTGTGTGTTTGAGATACGATTCACAGCAGCTTGTTTCACAAAGAAATACTATTTCTTCCTCCATCCATTAGGGCTTTTGCCTCCCATGGGAAGCTGAATAAAGCTGCGTCCTGGAAAAGCATCTTCCTTCACTGAACACCACAGGGACCCAGCTCTTCAGGGAGCCGAGATGCAGCTGCCGTGGGCATGGAATCCCTCTCCCGTGAGTGTGATAGGAAGTAAATGAGTTGCTGCAACTCTCTGTTTCTCCCAAGAAAATCCACCTTCACTTCGTTAATCCCTTGGAATCCAACCTCAGTTTCCCTGCTCTGCCTCTCGCCTCCAAGCTGGCTAGAACAGAGACTAATGAAGTAAGGGGACAAGGAGCAGCTGTCATGGGTAGGGTCACCAAATTGCTTGTGCTTTTGTGGAACTGAACAAGATTAGGCCAGAGCAGATTAGGCCACGCTCAACGCTGTGCAAAGGCAGCCGGCCTTGGAGTAAAAGTGGCTTCTGAGTCGGGGATATTGGCTGTCCCACATCTAGATGTCCCGGCTCTGCAGTTGAATGAGAATTAATTTGGCGAAGGTCCTCTCAGGTGTCATATTTGCTCCTTTTTCCTTGAGGGCTTCTGGRTATGAGCATGGCACTTGCTGGATGGGGACGGATTTGCTTTCTTGAGCTTGGATTTGTGTGGGCTGCCAAGYAGAGGACGCTCGGATAGCGAAGGCTGCGCTGATTCCTGCCCATTCCTGATTCCCACCTTGACTTTGTTCAGCGTGTGCTGCTCACGCTGTGAACAGCAGCTCTCCTGCTCTGGAAGCTCCGTGTCAACCACCAAACACGGAGATTTCAATTGATATTAATTGCGTTGTTGGTATTTGTAGGATGCCATGTCGGAACAGGGTTGGTCACTGAGAGAGAACCCCCAAAGGAGGGAAAATCTGAGGACTTCSGAGCACTTGTTTGACTTGGATTTGCAGACTTTTTCATCCGCGTTTCCAATGGGCTGGCCGTGGCTTGGCTGCTCCTCTCTTTTCCATCTTATCTCTGTGTGTTACTGGGTTCCAAGGCAAGAAACCAACAGAAGGGCCATATCTAAGGAACCAGCATGAGGAGGAGGACACCTGCCATGGAGTTTGCAAATGTTTTGAGCAATGACTTGACATCAGGCAAAGAAATGCAGTAGAGACAGACGAGATGAAAGAGAAGAGGGGAGCAACAGGCTCTGTTTTGCTCAGCAACAGTACCTGGGTTTGTTGGTACTGTGAGAACCAATGTCCTTGGCTTTGAAATATATGCCCTTTTTTCCTTTTTTTTCCTTTTTTTTAATTAAAAAGTACTGCCTAAAAGATGGCAGCTAGCTTTTGATAGACTTGGGTTTATGAAAGAGGGAGCTCCAGAGCTTGATAGTTTCCAGGAGCGAGGCTGAGCCAGGATAATTCTTAATATTAGAAGAAAATTACCGACCTGTTATTTCTGAATGATATTTCTGAATTCTTAATGATAATTGACTCCCACCCGCCCTCCCAGGCGGCCCAGTGCTTCCTGCTGCTACCCAGCCATAAACTGGGCCTGAAGAAGGAGAGAGGAGGAACCCAAGGCTCCCTCTGGGATGGAGGGGCTATCCCAGGAAATGCCGCCCAGCTGCAAGTGGAWGTGGCCACATGCCTGGGATCCGGGGGCTGCAGGTGATTGCTTTGCCTCATGCAATTATATGGGGTCGTTAGAGGTAGATTGCAGCAAACAGAGCAAGGCAGCCTCCTCATTTGAGCTCTCTTCCTTTAACATAATTATATGTTTCCCTTTTTTTAAAAAAAAAAATATATGTTTTTTATTGTTTATTTTGTTGTTAACCCGACCTGCCCCTCTAATTTCTACCCAGCTAGCCTGTAATCACTATGGTACAGGAAAGGAAAATAAAGGTTTACTTTTAAACGTGGTTTAGTTCTGCCCGTTTTTACAGCACAGCAACTAGTACCAGCCACTATTTAGAACTGCAGTGGGACAAGAGGATGATTTGAGGGCTTTAAAATTCACATTCTTCTTTGAGCCTGATGAAATGATGGATGATGAATGCACCAGGATGAACCCTGAAACAGATGCAGGTCAGTAAAAGACAAATTCTAGTTGGCTTAGCAGATATTAAAGCAATTTCTGGGGCTATTTCTTTAATCATTTGTGTGTTTTTTGTTGTTATTTTTCCCTAAATTAASTAGTGTGTTTCTGAAGAGTTAAAAGTAGTAACATAGCGGACAGTTTCTCTGCTAGAGGTTGATAAAATCCCTACTGGTCCCTTACCTTGGAAGCGCTATCCTGCTGCTGTGCTTAATGAAAGATCAGTCAAATAAATTGTTCCTGGAATTGAACTTAATTACCTGCAACAGAGAGAAACCTCATTATTGGGAGCTAATAAAATACCGTGTGGTTTTTAATGATGTCAGGAAGGTAGCAGTTTTAAACTGAAACCTGCTTGTTTAATAATGGAAAAGATGCTAGATTTGAGGAAGGTCTTTCGTATGTGGTGTGTCACTCCTCCAAGGAAAGAGATATGTGTTTTAAGCTGTGCTAGTGAGAAACTGCAAATTTTTGTCAGTCCTGATCCCCTAAGCCTCAAACTAAGGGGCCTGGAGCTGGAGGATATTTCTTATTGAAAAATTATCCAGGTCTGTATCTGATRTGAGGACATATTTCAGAAAGACCTGGCTGTGACTGATATGTTTTAAAGCTTTAAATAAGCAGCAGAGCTTGAAGTATTAGGTTTGTAACATGACTCATTTTATCATCTTCTGGATACTTTTCTATAAATTAAAAAAAAATGTTTTGGGTCCTTTACTATTTTTTAAYCTGCTGCTCTAGGGATAACTTGTGTCCCCCACCAATTCTGCATTTTTTTTTTTGTGTGTGTTAGAGTGAAAAATGATAGAAATGCCGGAGCTGGGCTCAGCGGCTCTGCAGCCTCGTGGGTCCTTGTGTGCGTCTCCATTCCCGGGATCCCGGAAGCGAGGCGGGCTTGGGGGGCGACGTGAAGCTGCRTCTCGGTGCCAGCAGCCAGGGAGGGCAGTGGGGTTCAGGGGGGCCCTCCTGCTGGGGAGAGGAGCAAGATGTGGACCTGGACAGGTCGAAAGAGGAGATGAATTGCGTGACTTTATCACGTTATTAGCCGCACGAGCCCTTGGCACCGCTGTTACGGGCGGTGCTGGGGGTGCCTGAGCGCAGGGGCCCCCCCAGGGCGGGCGAGGGGCCCGGGCGCCCCTGGGTGCCCCTCTCGCGGCGCTTTGCAGGGCCGTGTCTGCGTGCAAGGCTCGGCCAGCCTGATGCAGGGACCCCCCTCGGCCTCGCTGCCCGCCGTGCCAACAAACCCATCGATCCGCCGTGACGCAGGATCGCGTGGGGCGGGTGGCGGAGAAGCTCCGGGAGCTTGGCGGGGGCGGCCGCGGCACTCCGCTCCTCCCCGGCGCGCGCGGGCGGCAGCGGCGGCTCCGGGGCCATGGTGCAGATCGGCTTCCCGGCCGCGCCGGCCGCGCTCAAGGCGGACAAGGCGGCAGCAGCGGGAGATGGAGCCGCGGCGGTGGCTGTAAGTGCAGGGGGACCCGGCTCCGTGGTGCTCTGGCAGCATCCTGGGGCTCCAGGGATGGGGGCGGATGGGGAAGGTGCTGGGGGTGGATGAGCCGAGCGCGGCGCCGGCCCCTGGGCGCCTCTCGTTGCGAGCAACACTCCCCACCTCTGGGATCTGCTTCGGGTGACAAGGAGGGCACTGGCTGTATCCGCAGGGATTGCAACCCCGCTGGCAGCGGGAGCAGGGAGGGGAGCGGGGCCGGAGGAAACCAGGCTCTGCATTCCCGTGAAAGGGACAAACCAGCACGTTTGGTCGTCAGCCGGAGGCTCTCCTGACCTGCGGACATCCCGCTCCTTATAGGATGGTCCCATGTYGGAGCGTGAGGTTGATGGGGTTTCCGTTTTTCCACGGCTGGGAATTGCCTGCTCCGTTGTACAGAACGTGCCAGGAGCTGCTCCTAGCGCAGGGATCTCCGGCGTGGAGCACGGACGTGCACATCCGTGCTCCACGCCGGAGATCCCTGCGCTAGGAGCAGCTTCGTGTGCTCTCATGCTCTGGATATGCCCCTTGTATCCTTATCCTCCAAGGGAATGCGGCCAACTGCGATCCTGCAGCCCTTTCCAGGCTTTCCTCGGGTTTCATTATGGGCCAAAGAAGGTGCTTGGCTTCTTCCCACCTTGGATGTGGAGCCCTGCAAAGGCTGCCGGAGAGCTGGGTATCCTGCTGGCCCTCTGGCTCATGCTGCCATGAAAGCAGCTGGAAAATCATTCCTTCTGCTGAGCTGCTCAAGCTCRGGCAGGATCCGGGTCCTCCTCACGAGCTCGCTATAAAAATAATAATTTTTATTATTGAAAAAATAATAAAAATGCAACCAATCATGAATCCTGCCAGACTCCAGCCATCAAAATCATTCCCATTCAGGTCCTGCCAGGTGAATAAAATTTGCCTTGAGTAGCAAATGCTTTTTGGGGCTCCCTTCACTGCCTTGGGTGTTTTTCCTACCCCAGAAGTGCTGTGTCACTCTTTGAAGTCCACGTAGTCTAGAAAAGATATTAAAAATATGTATTTCCAGCTGGTTCTGTGGCCGTCTGGAGCTGAGCCGTGGGACATGGGAGCCAGACGGGGTAAGGTCTGTCACAGGACAACAGGAGACGGCTGATCTTGCCGGCATTGTTTTCCATGACATTCGGGGATGCCGGATTCCTGGGCGAAGGTCTCCTGGCGCGGCTGAGCCGGGGCTCCTGCATCCCATGGACGTCGGCATGGGCTCCCTGTGCATGGACGCGGAGCCGGACGCGGTGCCGAGGCCTCCCGAGAGGCCGAGGATGAGGAGGCTTCACGCGCCGCCCTCTGCATCCCGCTGCCCTGCAGCTCGGTTGGAGCCAGCGAGAATCAGCAGTTTAAACCATCAGGAAATACGTGCAATTTGGAGGCGTTTTCAGCGATTTAAGCACTTGTAAATATAGCAATCCTGTGGTCATTAGAAGGTAGGAAGATTGACCGACCTTGAGTACACGTCACTTCGAGGTTATGCAGGCAGCAAAATATTGTTCTTTTGTTGCTGCTGGAAAATGGTTTCAGATGTGGAATAGCAGTCATGGAGTTTTAATAGAGCTCCAGGCTTACGGAGTGACTTGGGAATAGCTAGGTATGTGTTGAACGGCGCTGGGAAGTGCGATGCTTGTGCTAGTTAACCCCACGGGAGCAGAAACAAGATGCCCACAGCTCTCCAGTCCACACGGGATGTTGTATCTTTGGTTACTTCCCCGTAAACCTTCTGATATTAGTAATGTAATTAGTAATTAATTTATATTTGAAATGAGCACAGCAAAGGGTCTAGTGAAAACAGGAGGCAGTTTGTGAGAGAGAATTACTGTGTCTAGCAGAAATGCTAAATGTGCCTGAATTTGGAACGGCGGCGCTCCCTTTCAGCGAAAAGGTGCAGATGAAAGAGCTGGAAAGCAGCAGGAAGAAAGAGGGGATCCTCCCTCCAACTCCGCCCTTGGGAGGCTTTTTCCCCTCTGGACTCGTGTTTGAATCCCAGGTAACAGGTGGAATCCTCGGCATCCCTGTAATGCCGATGCTGTTAGAGCTTGGGGAAGGACAGGATGATGGGATTTGGGAGAGGGAGGTTGTTTTAGTTGTTATCATCATCATCATCATGTTTTAAATCCGTCCCTCTGAATTTGCTTTGCAGAGTTTTCTCGGTATTTTAGCCTCCAGCGTGTGAAGCATCCGCGTTGGGACCTTTTTTTGCCTCTTTTCTCGGCCGTTTCTTTCCCCTGGGCCCTGCGGGCCGGGGGCTCTTGCTGGGGGTCTCCTACGAGCAGCCTTGTTTTCACAAGGGGCTTCGCTGCCTCTGCTGGTGCCATGGCTGGTTCTGCCCTTTGGAAACAGGGGAGGGAGAAGCTGCAGCTGGAAGTTGTTGTGCCTGTGCCAAAAAGAAAAGCCCAAAGGAAAATAAGAGCGTCACGGAAGCAAATTCCTCACTCCTGTGCGAAGAGGGGGAAGAAGCAGCCGCTTAGTCCCAGAACGGGATGGAGAAGGAGAGGGGCGGCCGGCGCGGCGCCGGTCCCCTGTGGTTGCTTTGGAAGCTGTATGTCCTGTGCTGTATGTATCTATAGCTGTGTGTATATGTGCATATGGTCTTCCCCCTGGTCTAAAGCCTTGGCAGCGTTTTGAATCTGGGATGGCTCTGCTGTTYGTTGTGGGTTATAGACCCCCTCACCCCACCTTTACAGTCAATGGAGGGAGTTTTAATGCAGGTCTGTACATTCTGTAGCTGATTTTGAAGCCAAACATGGGACTTTGTATGCTGGAAACGGAGGCCTTCAGGTTCTTTGCGTTCCCCTTGAGTCCATCTTGGCCTTTGGTTGCTGAAGTGAATGGGGAGCAGGATCCATCGCCTTCCCTGCTGTGTGTTTCTCAGACCCGGCTCCTCCGGGGACACGGCGGCTGYCTGGAGCACAGCTGGAGTCACGGAGCGCCCCGTCCTCCTGCTGCGCGCTTCCCTTGGAGCAACGAGCGGGATTCGGCTCCGGATTCCGTTGCGTGGGATGGAGGCCTCCCCTCGCCGCGGGGTGCTCCCCGTGCCGCGTCCCACCGCGTTTCTCTCCTGTTTGTCGGTCGTCAGAGCCACGGCTTTGAACAGGCTCCCTCCTGGAGGTGCCTCTGTAGACACTGGCCAGGCCGTGGCCTCTTCCTCAGGCCCTGCTCCACCTGGAGGGAAAGGAAGGGTTGGGAATCTGCCCGTCTCGCTGGGCTGAGGGTCCAGGGCAGCTTTGACCTGGAGCCTCTGCAGAACCTCCCGTCCTCTGCCCGTGTCGGGGGTGTTCCTTAGTGGTGGTCCTTAGGAACAGGAGCTGCTCGTTCCCTTTCAGATCCGGCTTCCAGCTTATAGGGACTGTCAGGAAGGAAGAGACTTGCCTTCCTGCCTCACGTTTTGAAGGATTATGTTAGTTGTGAAATGTTGAGCATCTTGAGTAGGGTTGACTGGTCCTAAGAGGTGATGGATGCGACCTTACAGGCCACCTTTTGACGGTCTAATTATGTATAATGTGTGTATATGTATAATAAGGGTATAATATATGCATATATGTGTGTGTGTACATAAATATATATGCACAGGAGGCGGTGGGAGAGGCCTAAAAACGCCTTTCCCTCCATGCCAGAGGGATCTGTCACCCGGCGGCAGCTTTGCAGGGCCGCGGCCTGCATTCCCCAGCCCCACCGCAGGCCCCGGTGCTGTGGYGTGTTATAATATATAATCTATACATTCACCTGACTAACGCTCTGCCCTTGCCCGCAGGAGGAGCCGGCGGCGCCGGCGCGGAGGGCGTCGCTCAGCGGCGTCTGCTACCTGAGCGTGGGCCTCCTGGTGCTGCTCCTGGGCTTGGCCTTCGCCTCCATGTACGTCTACAGATACTTCTTCGTGGCCCAGGTATGGGAGCGCCTGGGGGGCTCTTGGAGAGGGGGGAGCCCAAACTCCTCCAGCCTTTCCGAGGGGGCTGCTCCTTGCTGCTCTGCAGCGCGGCCGTTGCCCCGGAGAAATGGGGCATGTCTGAGGTGGTGGCCCAGGCTCATCCCCGTGCAGCTGCTGGATGGGCCTGTGGAAATTCTCCTCTTCCSGCCCCTTGTTGCTTCTGACTCCACAAAAATATCCTGCCTTGTAAATGCAACCCTACAGCTCTTAGCTGCAAACYTGCTTTGGAGAGTGGCTTCTTGTGGGGGCAGAGGAGACACCGAATCCCAGGATGGTTGAGGTTGGAAAGGACCTCTAGAGACCGTCTAGTCCAACCCCCTGCTCCAGCAGGGACACCCGGAGCAYGGGGCACAGGGTGGCACCCAGGCGGGTTTTGGGTCTCCTCTAGAGCAGGAGACTCCACAGCCTCCCTGGGCAGCCTCTGCCAGACCCCAGAGGGAACAGGGAGATACAGGCAAGACAGAGCATCTTTTTGCCATTTTTTGTTTGTCTTTGAGCCCCGCACAGCAATACCATAAGCACAACAAAAATAGCTATTGCTATTAATAAAACATGTGAAGAGTAGGTTTAGAAAACTAGGTCAGAGTCTACAGAAGTTGGGCCTGCAACCTCAGTACATTTTGGCACCTCTTTCTTTTTGCACCACCTCCCCAAGCCTGAGCACTGCACCGGTCCTGTTGTGCACTTAGGCAGCAATGGTYGGGACATTAAGAGTGAGACAGAGCAGAGCGGCTTTGGTAGGAAGCTGCTGAGCTTTGGGCTTGGCTCAGGGATCGCCCGGCAGTGGAGTCGGGTTTTATGTGAACCAGGGTGCTTCAGGGAGCCGGGCTCCTGGGCCTTCATGTTCCAGGTCTGCAAGGGCCACCTGTCATCTGTGATGTGAGCGGCTCCAGGAGGCAAAATTGCAGTTGGTTTCGGTGCCTTTGCAACACGCATGCTAAGATGTGCTTAGAAATGGTGCTTTACTCACCGTGAGCTTATATGCCCTGTGTAGGAAAATGCAATTGCTGGAAGTTACCGATGGAGGGATGTGGATAACCCTGATGTAAAATGTAGGGCTGGTAGTTTGTGAATTCTCTTGTGGAATCTGACATGGAATTCAATCCATTTGAATCTGGTTGGTGGGAGGGGAGACAGTCTTGCTTGGATGGGACGCAGAAGTGTCCTGGACAAGGGTTTTCTGCCCTACCTTCCTGACAACCGTTTTCTGTTGGAATGATCTTGAAGCGTTCCCAGGTGCCTGTGCCAGGAAGGGGTCTCCCTGCACTGCTCCCAGCGTTTGTGTGGTGGGAAGCGGGGCCCGCCCGTGCAGGATGTGCCCCTGGCTCTGCTCCCCACAGGTGCCCCGCGAGAGCCTGTTCCACTGCGGCGTCCTCTACGAGGACTCCCTCCACTCGCCCCTCCGCGGGCAGCTGGAGCTGCGCGAGGACGTCAGGATTTACCTCGAGGAGAACTACGAGCAGATCAACGTGCCCGTGCCCCAGTTCGGGGGCAGCGACCCGGCCGACATCATCCACGACTTCCAGCGGGTGAGGGCGCCGCTGGCCRCCGCCGCGGCGCGGGCGGCGCGGGCGAGGAGGAGGAGGGCAGGAGACGGCGCAGGGTGATCTCTGGGGTCCATCAGTCCCCAAGGGTCATGGTACTGAGCGCTCTCCTCAATGAGGAGAAACCTCTTTGAGGTTTCCCCCCTGCCTGTTGTGCCGTGGCAGTGAGTCCCTTGGGAGCCAAGGGCCGGCGCCTTGGTGTGAGGGAGATGGAGGCGAGGGCAGCAGAAGGGCGTTTGTGGTGGCGGGAAGGGCCACCAAAGGGTTGGTGAGACCCCCGGGTGGAGGTTAGAGGCTGCTCTCCTGGGATGAGAGTGATCGTGGAGGAGACCCCTTCCCCGCTCCATGGAGGAAACCCCTTCCCCGCTCCCCGCGCCCTCCTCCTCCCGCACGCGGGAACGTTTCACCGGGAAGTGCTTAATCCCTCGCTCCGTCTGCCTGCCCCGCAGGGCCTGACCGCCTACCACGACCTCGCGCTGGACAAGTGCTACGTCATCGAGCTCAACACGTCCGTGGTGATGCCCCCGCGCAGCCTCTGGGAGCTGCTGGTTAACGTGAAGGTGCGGCCAACGCTCCCGTGCGCCTCCACGCTCCGGGCAAACCAGCTGCCGTGTCCGCAAAGCCTCGGCCCTGGCAGAGCTGCGTTTGTGCTCAGCGATGGCCTCGGGGTTTTTAGCCATAAATAGCCCAAAATGGGGCTTTTGCAGGCTGCACATGGGCACTGGGATGCAGGCAAGCCCTKGGTTGTGCTCGCTGCAGCTGCAGCATGGCAGGGTTAAGCTGAGGGGCAGAAAGTTGGGACTGGGGTAATCCCTCCCTTGGAGACATGCCTGGTGGCCGGTCCTTGCCGTGCTCCCGCTTGTTTGCCAGCATTCCCTGCCGTTCATCCTGTTGCCGCGAGGTGCCGGGAACCCCTCGGGGCAGCGCTGCGTTTAGCAGCAGCTCGTGCCCAACCAGCCACAGCTTTGGGTGGTGGCAGGTGGCCAGAGCCTGGCACAGAAGGGAATGGGAGAGCCGGGAGCACGGAGGCTGGCAGCGGAGCCTCCGGGGAATTAGCAGCATTGGGAACGCTGCGCGCACCCGGAATAATCAACGTCCCTTTGACGGAGCCGGTGTCGTTTCAGAAGGGGACGTACCTGCCGCAGACCTACCTCGTCCAGGAGGAGATGGTGGCGACGGAGCCCGTGCGGGACGTGGAGCAGCTCGGCGCCTTCATCGGCCGCCTSTGCCGCGGCAAGGACACCTACGGGCTGCGGCGGCGGCGCGCGCGCCCACGTGAGCGCCCCGCGCGCCCTCCTCATCCTCCTCGGTGCTCATAGCCCTGCCGGCCTCTCCGCGCCCGGAGAGGAGCTTTCCCAGGGAGCACAGTCCTATGGGAGACCCTTGGGGGTGTTTCAGCTGTGCCCACGTCTATAGCGATGCTACTGCAAGCGAGCGCGGGCCGTTTGAAGTATTTCCATCGCTGTGTCTACCAGCCTCGTAGAGACATTGATGGAAGTGGCTGCAGGAGCCAGCACTTGGTTTTCACGCGGGCTTCTGGGGCTGGACCGATGGCAGGGCTGTTGGGAACTGCCTGGACAGCTTCCCTGCTGGAGACACCTGCTTCAGTGGCAGCTCTGCAGAGTCGATTAGACTGCAGACTGCCTTTAATTAATTAGGTTCCTAGCAGTATTGAGAGAGCAGTGAAGAGGCAGCCTTAGACTGCCTGGTAGCGATTTCCTGAAAATCAGCAGTCCTTGCGTCCTGATGCCAGGGTGGTTGCAAAAACTCTGTTTTTGTGTTTGAGCGTGTTTGATTTTAGATACCGAGGTCTTTAAAGCCTCCTCAGAGATGTTAACCTGTATCTCGGGGGCAACCTCGGGGTGCTGAGGGCCTGCAGGTCCCAAAGTCCCCTCGGCTCTAGTTCCTGGTTGCTTTTCCAGTGGGAACGGCAGATTTCCAGGCCTTGCCTGGCTCTGTGCAATGCTCAGTGGGAAGCACGTGGGGCACACGCTGCGTGAGGCCAGTCCCCTGCCTGCCACCCACCCCGTGTGCGGTTCCCTCCTGTCCTGAAGGGGCTGTAGCCGTGAGATGCTCATAGATGGGAGCATTAATGCTTATTATTATTAATACTTGATTTCTTTTTTCCCCACTCTCCTCTTTTTTCCTCTCTTCTAGGTATAAGTCGACGTGAGGCCGGGAGCTGCCGTCGCATTCGTCACTTTGAGAACACTTTTGTGATCGAAACGGTTATCTGCAAGACGTCGTGAAGCCCCTGTGCAGCCCTGCTGTTCCTTGGCTTTGCTTGCACACACACACATGTTTTTAACCCTCTCTTTAGACACGATCACCCCYCTTGCTTTTCTTACACCCTTTCCTGCTTGTGCAGCTCTAACTTCTTGCAGCGGCTTCTCTTCTCTCTGTACTCCCTGCTTGAGACGTTTTGCTGGGCTTAAATTTACGCCGTGGTCAGAGAGGACCTGTGAGTAGAAGCGACCTGTTTGAGGCCAGGGGTGCTGGAAGGGACTGCCCTCTCCCTGGCCGAGGGGTTTTGTGCTGGTGCCGCCGTGGCAGAGCCCTGGGCTGTGCCAAGGAGCAGGCTAACGGCTTCGTTGGGGCTGTAATGGTTGGAAATATCTGTTGGGAGGTGCCAAGGGGACACACGGCAGCGAGGCTGCAGACACTGCTCTGCAAAGCTCAGCAGGTTGGGGGGTTTGCTTAAACCCGGTGCCAGGCAGGTCTGTCCCTGCTGGGCCCAGACCTGCCTATGGAGCAGCAGGCAGCGGCCTGTGCAGAGCAGATTCCTCGCTGGTTTTAAGAMAGAGAGAAATCTGCTCTCATATCACCCCTGATGAAAGCAGGTTCATCTTCAAACAGGTTTTGATAGCAATTCCTGCAGCCATTGGCACGATCTGCAGACACCATCCTGGCACAGATATGTGTAGAAGGGCAAGATTCAGCAGACTGATGCACTGCCGAGAAATTGGTGAACAAAACTACATTTCTGTTGATCATCAGAGGGAGGAATTGTAGAGTAATTAGATATTCTTCCCTCTGTTCCAGAAATACAGTTAAAATTAATTAGGCTCTTGAAATGCAGGCAGTTTTTTGGCTTGAAAGAACAGGGAGAGTTTCAAATTGGCACGTTCTTGGTAATTGGTTTCCAGCAAATCTGGACTCAGTCACCATCTGTTGAAATGAGTTTATTGTTTCAGAAAGAGGAAGGAAAAGGAAATGCAAGTACAATCATTAACTCAGCACAACCAAAAAATGTCAATATATTTTAGAATGGAACTTTTAAGTAGAAATGATGTGAGCTAAACAGATGAAAAACAAAACAGGATCCCAAAGTAGTCGCTTTGTATAACAGGATTATGGCCTTAGAGGCTGAGAGTGGGTTTTTGGTTAGCATAGAGTTGGCCAGAAACATTGTGTGTAAGCAGCTAGAGGAGGCTTTGGTCCTGTGCTGCCTTGTGCTTGATGTAAAATGAAGAATCTCAGGCAGGCTGGTGGGGAAGGAAGGTTTTCCACTGCCACAGGGGCATTTGCTTTCCTATAGAAGGGCTCTGCTTTCTCAGTGCAGCTTAGTCTTAGCTCCAATGGGGCGCTGTGGAGCGGGTGACAGCGAGGGACATGGAGGCTTGTGTCTCGTGGTGGGTGAACAGCAAGCTGGTAAATTTAAGCCCTGCATTTGTGCTTGTTTGTGGGAGGCTCGGGGATCTTCTCCCCTCCTGCTGGCTCTTGTGGGTCCCCGGCGGCCAGGACGGGCTCCTGGCGAGGAGCTGCCGCCTCCGGGATGCCTGGAGGGGCAACGTGCAAGTGCTCCGTGTCCGTCGTGCGGTGGGTCTCTTACCTCTGGGGGAGCATCTGTGGGGTAAATAAAACCTTCCACCTGTGGTGTGCGGAGCGTGTGCTCATTGGGGAGCGCGGGGCTGCGTGGCCGAAGCTCTGGAGCTGAAGCTGTTGTCCGTGGTGGGTGCCATCAAGGTGGGACTGCTGCAGGTGGCAACGGTGGCTTTGGAGCCGTGTCTGGAAAACGCAGCGTTCCTCTGCGCCTGTTCCTTGTGGCTTGCCCAGGAGAGAGGCCCGTGAGCAGGAAGTTGGGATGTGCGTTGTGCGCCGCCGAGAGATTTACTGTGAAAATTAAAACGTGCTCTCCTAAGAAATAAATAGGGAATGCTGAGGAGGTGAGTTCATTAGGTATCTCGTAAGACCACGGATCAGTAAAGACAAGGAAAAAGTAGATTTTGTGTTGGCTACAAACGCCTCAATAACCGCTCCTTGCGGCTACTCATTTCTCATTGTTACATTTCCCCTTCCCCGATCGCTCCGTCCTCCTGAGGTGAACACTCAGTGAACCCAGCTGCCCGTGCTTGGAATAAGATGCCTGATGTTTATAAAACTGGCATCTTAGGATGCCTGCGTAGGGCAGCACAGGGTGCTGCCGCTGCTCGAGGTGGCGGCTGCGTGGAAGGGACACGCGCGTCCCCGGTGCTGCGGGAAGGGCTCCGGTTTGGRCACAAGTTGGGAGCTGCAGGATCAGGAATCGGCTGCTGCGTTTCCTCGGGGAACGGCACTGTCCTGGATGTGGGATTGCTTTGTGCTGGCTCTCATTAAGCGTCCGTGCCGCACAAAGATGTTCCTCGTGGAAGCCAGGAAGTTGCTCTGTTTATCGGGTTAATTGCTCTGGAAAGGCCAAGTCTGTAATTTCATACTTGAACTTTCAGCGCTGTATTTGAACAGAATTGAAATCAGACCATGGGGTGCTTGAAACAAGGCCTGAAGCTTTGGGAGAGGAAGCAACCGATGGGAGCATGTTGGAGGAAACTCCCAAATTAAAACTCATCTGCTTTTGAGCAGCCTTCTCTAGGACACTGCTCTGTTCCCCATCTGTTACTCGTGAAGTGAAGGTTTTCACGCCCCTGTTTGCTGGTTTCCCTCTCCTCMTGCAGGGCAGCCGACAGCTCTGAGCTGGAAACAGCGGTTTCACAAGGCGATACCTGCGTTGTTGCTGGGACGTGCACCCCTCTCATCAGCTCCTGTTCATTAAAACAAGGTTTTTAAAACACGCAGGGCACAGTGGTGGGTACCTGGGGGTACCACATGCCCTGGGGTTGGCCACTGTGGCGGTGCTGGCCGCCCCAGTCCGGGCAACGGGGCCGCATCCAGCAGCACAGACAGGGCCCTGCTGGTGCCGTTAGGAAAACGCACAGTGGATTTGAGAAATGCAAGAAAAATCTCAGCTCTGCTCTCGGTCAGCAATGGCAAACGGCGCTGGTGGTGTCGGTGAGCACCCCTCATGCCACCCGGGACATGGCTGTCTGTGTCCCTGTGTCCTGGTACAACCCTGGGAAAAGAACTGCCTAATCAAGCACCTCGAGAAGCCTTTGAGAGGATTTGCAAAGGAGATGTTCAAACCTGAAGCTCCTGCGAGGAGAAGGAGCCCGACGAAAGCACAGCCCRGAGTGATGCGACTCGGTACGGTGCCCAACACGAGGCGTGTTTGCAACGAGCCTGTTGGGCCATCCCGCTCCGAGCTTGGCAACCTGCCTCCCCAGATTCCCCCTCCTCCCTTCCCTCTTGCAGAATTTTTAATGTTTGGCCAGGGAAGGTACAAGGAAACACAGGACAAAACCCAACCTGGTTGCTTTCATAATAGCAGGTACTAAATAACAAATCAGCCGTGGTTGAAAGGTTACAGCAGGGAGAAGGAGGCCTGTCCATTCTGCAGCGAGGCTTGCCAAGAAAATGCACCTTGCTTTTGTTCAGCGCTTTTCATGAAGTTGTTTAATGGCACTAGAAGGTAAATGTTTGGTAATAATCTCCTTGGCAATTGGGATGTGTTCAGCATTTGTAGCTGTGCCTGAAACGCTGCCTCTCTGCAGGGGCAGTGCCCTGTGCTTCCCCACGGGGACCTCGGGACTCTCTACATTTGCAGTTTATTTTTTACCCCAAATGTTTTATTAAGTGCTCGACTATTTCAGCGTGACGACTACTGGACAAGTAGTTCCACCCGAGACTATTTGGAGAAGTTGCAGCTTAGACTTTAACCTCATTAACACGYTTTAATATTGGCAACCTCTGAGCGCGTTCAGTTTATATGCTGTAAAAAGGTAGGAAGGGCGACAGCCCAGACACCCCTCAGCATCTGCCCCAGCTTTTATGCTGCAGAACAACCTGCTTTTCTTCTGCTCAGGCTGCTTTCCCAAAGTTTGGACCTCGGTGTGGCAGGAATGTGGGATTGTGGTGGGGCGGGCGGTGCTCGGCACAGGATGGGGTTCAGGGCAAGCAGGCCGGCTGCTGTCGGATCTCACCAGGGAAAACAGAAAAATTGGGATGCTGCTGAGATAAACGCGTGCAAAATTCATACGGACGCTGAGAACTGGCACTGCACGTGCCTGTGATGGGGGTTCTTCCTCGGCAGCGGCTGAAGGGCTGGAGTTCCCCCACCGCTCTGCTGCTGCATTTGCTGGTTATTAGCTGCCTTTTGCAGATACTGCCCTGGCTCCAGACTTGCCCTTTTTCCTGCCTGGTTTCCCAATCCAGGTTTTGCTGGGCAGTGATTTGAGCTGTCCCAAGGACCTATTTGGAGATGGGCCTTGGAGATCTATGGTTATTTGCTACCACCGTTCTTTTTTTTTCCTTCTTTTTTTTCATTTAAAAAATATTTTCTGCTTTAAACGTTTTGTAACTGATGTTAAAAATGGCTTCCTCTCTAGGGAACAGGACTTAAGTGACAAAAAGAAAGTTAAAGCAAATCCACCGCTAGCTTTTGGTAACGTCTACAGCCTCCCATGCAGGGATGCAAAAGCACATCTACAGACAGTCTCATTTTTTGGTTTCCTGTTTGAAAAGCAGCTGATGCCTCTTGAAAACCCTTGGGCTGAGAAGCTTCTGCTGCTTAGTCTCTGCCTGTTCTTTTTCTCCTCCGTTATTCTGCCCCGTGGATGAGATTTGCAGACAACAAGACCTCCCAGTGGATGAGATTTGCAGGACAACAAGACCTTTTCTTTCTCAGGAGCTGTCCCATCTCCGTAATTCCCCCTTTGGAAGCTACAGTGTGTGCAGGGAGACCCTTCACACTCCCATCCACCCTGACGCTGCCCTCATTTCCACAGCAACTGCCTGTGGCAGAGAGGAGTTTCTACCTTCAGGTGGAATGTAAATGGTAAATGTTCAGGTATAGGTAATAGGTTCAGGTAAACGTGGCCCTCGGAGGCTCCCGGCCCCGCTCTGGAGCTCCCAGGTCTGGGAACTTGCCCGGTGCTGCCGAGCTCATTGACGCTCCAGATGTCCCCAGACTCGTGCAGCTCCCTGCCAGGGTCACCCACGGCCTCTGCTGCTTTGCCTGGCCTCTCTCATCAGGGAAAATATCTGTATCCTAAACAATTCTGCAATGTTTGGGTAAGAGGGAGGGCGACTTATGGGGGTTCTGTGCACAGCTGTGTTTAAGGGACACAGAAATGTTAGCTGTAAGCACTGATGCTATGCACTTAGCAAGGACTTGGGAAATAGGATTCTTAGAAGGATTTCTTGGGAAACAGCCTCTCAGCTGAGGCTGGAAGAAAATGAAAACCAAGCAGCGCTTCCATGTGCTGCAAATGAAACAGGTTTCAGCTGTCACACTGTGGAAGTTGGACCACCTGGCCAAGGAAGGGGGGACAGGGCAGTGTGGGGTTTGCAGCAAAGACGGAGAGGTTGTCAAGATGTGTCTGCTAACAGGCGGATGTGGGCAACACAAGGGAAGTGAGTGACACGAGAGTTACATAAGAGCACGGGCTGTGCTGCTGGTGCAGCAGGTGTGACTGTGCCCAGAACGGGCAGCTAGGGTGAGACCGATGCTGCGTGATTCCGGTGCTGCCGGTGCAAACCGAGGGCTCGTGCTGGTTGGGATCTRCTTCCACGCTGCCCGGGGGGACGCACGGAGGGTCTCACTATGAGTCAGAGCCGTGGCCGCGTGTGCCACGTCCAGTTTGGTCCTGCAGCCATCCCTCTGCGCTAGCTCTGCTTGCACCATTTCGCTGTGGTTTAGTGTCCTTGATCCCTGGTGATAGAGGGGAACGTTCAAGGATCCCCCCAGGGCACACCAGCCCCTTCCACGTGGTGACCAGGGTGCCCRCGGGCTATTGCTGCAGGAAGGTGTTTCTTTTAGCAATTCCAGCCTGCAGGAAGCAGACAAACCTGCCCGTGGGAGGGCCCAGGCACTCACTTCACCCTCCTTCCACCTGGGCTGTTCTGAAGCCACCTCACTCCCATTGGTGTGGATGAGGTGCTGCTGGGCTCTGCTCCTCCTGTGCTCCCCTTCAGACTGCGGGAAGGTGTCTCGTGGGCTCGGATCCTGCGGCTGCTCGGGGACGTCAGGTTAGAGCTTGGTCTGTACAGAACGGTTTTGCCAAGGTTCCCAACAGGAACCGAGCCGWGGCAGTTTGTGGGAGCCTGGTGCCAGAGCCGCCATTTAACCTGGCAAAGGCGCAGCGTTTTTTTCCAGGAACACCAGCACACACCTCTGTCTGTGTCAGGTTAGTGTTTCCCTCCCCAGTAAATGGATTTATTTGGTACAATCTCATACACAGATGTAGCAACTTGGAGAAAAAAAATCATCATTTTTACAGGCTGGAGTCTGCAGGTGCAAAGTCACCAGCTCTGGGAGGCAATCAATACACTGCACAGTTTCCTTCACCAAAATGGGCAGTGAAAAGGCCGGGATTAGCTCCCTTCCTGGAGGATGTGTTGCAGGGAGGCAGCTCAACATGAATGCAAAAGCTAACTGCCTCAGTTAATGAACCTTGGTAAATGTGATGGTCTCTCATTGGTGCCTACCAGGCGCTCAGTGCTCCTTAACGCCACCTTTCCCTGAGGACCCCCTGGAGTCCTGGGATGTTGGGAAGCTCCAGCAGCCCGCGGGGCCGCTCCGGTGGGAATGAGCCGCATTGCTGCTGGCCAGGAACCCTTCCTGTAGGCCAAAGTGCTGTGAGCAGGGGGCAGTTGCCAGCGCTGCCCTCCCCCTTGTCCCACTGCTAAGTAAGAACAGAGCTTTTTTTCTCAAAAAGAATCACATCAACAGAGACACGTAGGACCATTTATAGAAAATAACTGAGTTTCTTTTTACCCATAAACGTCAACACATAATGTGGTGCGAGATAAATTAGGAGTAGGCTCTTGGGAGCGGTCTCAGTTTTGGCTTTCCTGAAATATTTTCAGACCTCAATATTTAAAGCCAAKGCCCTTTATAAGCGGTTACCCTGCAGCACCTAACAAAGCAGCTCCGTGCACCGGGGSTGCTTCAAGCGGTCGCTTCACCTGGCGAGCAGCTTTTTGCCTCTGCCTAGGGAGCTGTGCCCGTGCCATGGGGTACCTACCACGGGGAACCTGCTGCTCCTAGGACGCTGGCAGGAGACGGCACTGGCTGTGCTGGTGGCAGGTCTGCACAGCCAGAGACACCGTCAGGACAGGCGTCCCAGTGACCACCGTGCAGCACGAGGCTCAGAGCCTGCGCCTGGATGTCTTCTGGTCGCTTTGCAACGAGTCTTCCAAAGACTCCTTTAAGACAAAGTAATAACAGATCCCATCCAGACAGCAGTTCAGGTTGGCCCAGCAAAGGGTGCCCTGGAGGACGGCTCGTAGGGCTGGCTGTAAACTGCTGTGAAGGACGTTGTTCTTGACCAAGAAATACAAGAGGAATGCCACGTGGTAGGGAGTGAAGCAGACCAAAAACGTCATGAGGTTTGTCACCACTATCTTCTCTGCTCTGTTTATTTGGGAGCAGGCAGCGTGTCTGAGCTTTCTCAGGCATCTAAGGGTCTGGATGGTGCAGAAGATCATGGTGGCCATGCTGCAGAGGAAGGCGGTCTCCAGGGCACTGAACAACCCTTTGTTTTCCCACGTACTTTTGGAGAAGTTATGGAAGCAGGATGAGAAGTTGTGGTCCTGTCCGTGCAGCTGGAAAGTGGAGGCGGTGCCGGCTGAGGTGCCCAGGCAGATGAGGGCGCAGACCAGAGCGGCCTTCTTGGTGGATCGCAGCCTGAGAGCCACAAAGGGGTGCCGGATGGCCAGGTACCGGTCCACRCAGATGCACAGGGAGATGAGGATGCTGCCGTACATGTTGACGAAGTAAAGGCTTTCCAAGAACGAGCAAAACGCGGAGCCCAAGCTCCACTTGTTCTGAAGGTGGTAGGAAACGATCTTAAAAGGAAGAGTAAACAGCAGCAAAGTATCCAGGAAAATGAGGGCTACCATGTAGACGGTAGATTCGGTGAGCTTTTTAACCTTAAAGAACAGGAAGGACAGAGCCATTGCGTTGAAGAGCAGCCCCAGAACGAAGGTGGGAGCATACGTGAGCAGCTGGAACAGCTCCACCGTGGCGCTGATGCTGCCGTGAGCGTGGGTCTCGTTCACGTCGCTGCCGGGGGAGACCATATTTGCCACAAGGAAGGATGAGTGCTGCCTTTGAGACCTGGCACAAAGGTTATTGAGGTCAGCAGGTTTCCACAGACCTAGAAAACAAAAAAAAAAAAAAAAAAGAAAATTAGAGATGTATTTTTTTTCCCCTTGGACTGCTGTATGTCAAGACTTAATAACCCAGGATCTGCCTTGAAATGGGCACACTTAACACAGCTGGCACACTGCTGTCCATTGAGAGCTGCAGCCTGTCTCCCCTCACCACCAAGTGACTGAAAATGCCCAACTACAGACCCTCTGGGCAAGAGTTTTGAAGGAATTCACCTTTCTTCTCTGGCCAAGGACTCTAGCACGATCCCAGGTTCACCTGGTGGGAAAAGAGGCTCCCTCCTGTTCCTGCAGTCCCGTTCTCCGTCACGATCACAGGAAACCTTCGTCCTTTATCCCTTCAGAGCAACCCTAACCCATAAACGCACGCTCCTGGCCTTCCCTCGTTGCCTGGAAATGGTGCCGCTCTCAAACGGTGGCTGCTCCTCCCTAATGCCTTTTTTCCACCCGAGTTACGGATCCCCACGTTGTTTCCTCCCAGCCCAGGCAGCCTCTTGCTGGCAGCGAAGCACCCGTTTCTCTTCCGAGGTAAGAGCTGTGCCCTGCACTCCGAGGGAGCCCTTGGTCGGCACCGGGGAGAGGCGTCACCTAAAACCKSMGGTTTTAGGTGACGCCTCTCCCCGGTGCCGACCAAGTATTTTTTTTTTCTCGCCTTGTGCGACACCGAGGGATGGAAAAAAATAAATAATAAACCCCTCTGAGCTYGGGGTGGGGGGTTGACGTGTTGTTTTACTGCTGTTTTAAACGCAGCGCCCGCGAGCGCGGGCTGAGGCGGCGCCGGGCGCTGTGGGGCGGCGCCATCTTGTGGCCGCGGGCGGCAGGCGGMGGCTCCCGAAATGGCGCCGCGGGCGCTGYCCCCGGTTCGTGTCCCCGGTTCGGGTCCCCGCACACGGCCCGGTTCCGATCTCAGTCCCTCCCGTTACAGTCTCTGCACCCCGGGTAATTCCCCGAATGTCTGAAGCGGGGTCTGGCTGAGGCACCGCGGCGCAGGGTCTTGTCGCAGCCCGTAAAACACCTCTGAGAAGCTTCTATACCTTTCCCCTACTCTTATAATTAGTTATATCTGCCTTCAACAATTACCTTTGAAAAACCCGAAGCAGCATTTCTGTTTTTAACAAATAAACGATCTCCCAGTAGGTCAGAACTGCAAAATTGACTTCCAAGGGGACTGTCCGGCCATTATTTTGCAAGAACCGTTAACCTAAGGATGAAGGTGACTGGAGGCTTCGTGCCACTTTCCTCAGTCAAAACAGGCACAAAAGGTGATTTTACATATTTTGAGGTGGTGGGATGGTGTTTGGTGCAGGTCCTTGTATAGATCATGCTCGCTTGCAGGCCTGGACCAGCACGGTCAGCCCCTCGGCCAGGGATGGAAGATGGTTGCACCTCGTTATGAAAAGTAATAACTAAACAAGAAGATTGGAACGGGTGTTCAGGTGAGAGCAAACTGTGTCCAGTGCAGTATCCTGTCCGTGGCAGCAGCAGATGTGCTGGAGAAGAAYGTGAGAAACAGGGCTCTTCTTGCTGGCATTCCTTGGGAAAAAAAAATATGAGGTTGTTTCCGGAGTTGTTCTGGTTAAATCCCATTAGCRACTTCCCATTTCCTGCTTTGTTTTYCTTGTGGTGTCCTAGAGACCTATGGTTTGTATTTAGYGTGATRCACRAGTAGTCGTACACTGAGCTCGTAACTCYTCATGTTTTTATRCTGAGAAATGCCAGTTTGTGTTTTCAGGTCATTCAGGTCAATGATGGGTTATATTCCACTGCCTTGAAGGACAGCAGATGTTGTGGGTCTTGTTGGGTGACCAGCATCGAGAGATGGTAGTTAGCAACCAAGTCTGAATAGTCAGAGTTTATATACACTGATATTTCRTTGTAAAATACTTCCCTTTGGGAAAACACTGTTGTTTTCAAAATATTTGGAAAATACTTGAAAAAAAAAAAGTGGAAATTTTTATTTTTCAAACTCATTGCATTCCTTTACTTCATTGTATGAACTGTGTATAAACGACTGTCTTGATTCAAATGGCAAGTCGTGGTATAGTATGAATTTAATGGGGCAGCAGTAATGCATTTGTTTGCAGTATTRTGAGATACTTGGATATCACGTCTGTGTTATTAGCAGAGGGAGAATGCACCACCAGAGGATTTAATTAATAAAATTTGTTTTCTTCATCTGTTTTAGCCGTCCTGGAGACTCCTTCCTGTTGCCAGCGTTGGGCCACGTGTGCCACGTGCAGAGCAATCCCGCCTGGTAAAATCTTGCTGCCTTAGGCTCAGGTCCTGGCCATGCAAGTTGGGTGTTTTGCTAACTTTGCACCCTTTTTATCCAAAATCATCTGYGTGGGGCATTGTGCTGAGGTGGCACAGGGCTTGCTGTGCCTGAGCTAGACGTTAGGAGGCAGCTTGAGCATCTGAACATGAAACCACAGCGCTCCTCTGTTCTTGCACCATCAGAATTTCCGTGGCCGGGTGCTCTGTGCTTTCCTAAATGTAAGTGTCCTTGTCTCATCCCGTTGACATAAGCGAGGTCTCTCATCTTCCCCATTGTAGCAGTGGGAGAACTGAAACATAAAAATAAAGGATTTTCCAAAGGTCATGTGAGAAACCTTTAGTGGAGTGGAGTTGCCCAGATTCAGATACCTCCCAATGCCAAGATGTTACTTCTAGGGTCCTCCTTTCCTGGGACCAGCTCCCTTTGTGCAGCCAACGTTGCATTGATCATGTCTGGACACCTGCATGTCTTCCAGAAGTCCTGTCTTCAGAAATGACTGCTCTGTCTGCTGCTTCGTACACCAAGTTAATGTTCAGATGGTAAGTGCATTTCTTAGTGTTGAAGTGCTTAGTGCATGCATATGCAAGACAAGAGAGTAATCAAGAGTAAAACATATACTTGATGTCGTTTTCCATATACCAAGCCAATTTTCTAAAATTCATTTGAGTCTTTATTGATTTAATTTCAAGACCAGACCTCAATTTCTAAGAGGTGAGGTTACGTATATACGATAAAAGCAGTAGCATCTCTGCCATTGTGTTGTGTGCAGATTTTGGGGAGGATTAAGAGAAAAATGTGCTTCTCCCTCCTTTTATTCCCGTAGCTGAGCTCAGGAAGTGGCTTTCAAGCGGCTCTTGCACTGTTCTAAGTGTGTTAATTGGGGTGCAGACCTTGTGYGGAAACATTTATCGCTGAGTCACCTGACATTTCATGGAACTTTGCTTAGTGCTCGTAATTCACCGTGTTTTTATTTCCYCTCTATGATTATGCCTATTAGAACCGTCCAGCTTGGAACTCTGTAGGTCTAAATACTCGGTTTATTTGACCAAGAATTCACGGCACATTTAACAAAAAGCATCCTTTTTCTTTCGTTTGCTTGCCTTGCAAACAGAATTTCTCTCATTGTATAGGCAAAGGTGCTGAAACATCAATCTGGCTAAGCTCTTGTGGTGCTGCTGAGGGTAGCATTAGATGACTGTCACTTTTTCCCATGTGAAAATGTGTGTGTGTGAGCGCCCACATGTATTTGGTCAGTGAAATCAGTCTTGCTTTGGCACCTTCTTGCTGCTTTTTCACACTTTTCTAATTTTCTCGAATTTGCTCACCGTTGATGCAGTTAATGTTATAACGTGTCTTTTTGTTGGAGTTGTCCTTACTGATTTTTGTAGTTTTCTCCTAACTGATTTTTGTAGTTTTCTCCTAACYGATTTTTGTAGCTTGGGGTGCTGGCAACACGAAGTTTACCCTGATGGGAGGCCATTCCCACATTGCTTCCATGCTGGTGTTTAACGCCAGGAAAGCAGGTGCCATCCGAAGCGTTGTGTCCCTCCTGGGCCCTGCTGCCTTGTGCATTTGGGTGCAGACACTGCCCCAAGGGTCGTCCCCTGAGCCCCTCTGCCTTCTCATAAGCACTTCTGTGCAGTGGCTAAACTTGGGTTTGCAGAGGGAAGCGCCTCCAAAGCCAAGTTCCAGTTGTGCTGTGGACTGGGCTGCCTCCAAAAGGGCTTTTTGCTCGTGGGCATCTTCATGTTGGAAGGGAGAGGTGCACGAGGGGAGCTCTCCGTGGGGCTGGTGCAGAGGACACCTCTCTTGTGCTCCTTGGAGCAGGARCCAGGCATGGACTGTGCCTCCAACAGGGCTTTCGTAGCCGGTTTGAGCAGCAGCTTCTTGTCTGTTCCCATCCATCAGCCTCGCGCAAGGGCTTCATGTGTGTGGGAAACCAAATCAGGGAAGCAACGCGGCTGAAAAAGAAGTTAGAAGCCAGTGGTCCCTGGAGTTTGGTAACGTGGATAATCCCCTTGCCTGAAAATGAGGAACCGAGGAGCTGTGATGTTTGTGAGGCTGCGCGTACGGAATCGGCTTGTTGTTACCCTGTCCTTAGGAAAACACTGCTTGAACCGCATTCAGGATGTAACTGACACACTTAAAAATATGTTTGGAAAAGAACAGAGCAGGTGATAGATTTAATTCTCTGTGGCTTGTAGTACCAGAGACTGAGGAAAGAAAGGTTTGGGCATTGGCACAAGAAATAGCTTTAAATAACCTGTTTTAAGGAACCAGTTCTTCCTGAAACGAGTTGTTAGCATCGTTGTGTGTTATTCTGCCGTCTTTGAGGCATCGCGCCTAGAAGAAATGCAATTTAATAGCACRCATTCTGTTTTTGCCTTGTGGAAAAGGCAGTTTTCTGTCGTGTCTACAGTGCAAATAAGAGTTTTCCATTCTGATTTTCCTRCTGATGTTTCCTTTATGCTTTCTTCCCTCCAGATTCGATTGTTTTCCGAGCTCAAACCTGCGGCCGTTCTCTTCTCTCCGAGGTGCAAGAGCAGAAGGGTGGTGGCCACCCCAGGTGGGTGCCCTGGTGGCCAGTGCACCCGGCACGATGGAGCCTCCGCTCGGGCTGCTCCTGGCGAGGGACGTGTGACAACAGTGCGACAGGAAGGGACAGGCAGCAGGTTTGMCGACCCTTCCTGATATGGCCGAGCTGGGAGGGTGGCAGATGTCTGCCCTGATGGGCATCAGTAGGAGGTTCAGCTCTGGTTCAGCTTTGCTGTTCRCCTGGTTGTGGTTCAGTTACATCACTCATATTTAAAATATGTATATATTCATTTATTATTATCAGTAAGGAGAGTTTTTTCACGCTTACTACTTTTCCTCTCTACGTGTTTCCATCTGTCCGTGCTGTCCCTACTATGCAGAGCTCGGAGAAACTGCTGAGGTTGCCTGAACTCTGAGCAAGCCTAAATATCTCTACATAACTACGTATAGCTGTATGCTATGATATAGATGCAGTTAGGCCAGTAGGCTCTATAGACAGGAGTCTTCCCATGGCCTGGAGGGTGAAAGGGCTGCTCTCTTCCCTTGGTGGGAGCTGGGGAGGTTTTAATAGATCTTTTTTTCTTCACCGTCAGTAAAAGGCTAGAGGACTTAGGGAAGACTGTGGCTGTGARGTCAGAGGGTTCTGTCTTTCTGCATGAGAATGGATCGTGTTGAACAGCTAACAGTGTGCACTGGTACAGGTGCTCTTTGGACTTCTCACCCTCATTAATTCTTAGCAAAATGAAA